GACCAGAGCCAGAACCCAGAGCTCACTGTCAGATCCACAGCTGGTCTCAGGAGCCCTGATAGATGTGGCCAAACACCTGGGCAACCTGTCCTTCAGAGTCTGGGACAAGATGAAGGACCAGGTCCACTTCAGTCCTGTCATTCTGGACCCAAACACTGCAAACAGCTGTCTTCGCCTGTCTGATGATCTGACCAGTGTGAGACGTGGAGAAACCAAGCAGCAGCTTCCTGACAATCCAGAGAGAAACACTAAATACTCCAATGTTTTTGGTTCTGAGGGCTTCAGCTCAGGGAAACACAGCTGGGAGGTGGAGGTGGGAGATCATCCTGTGTGGGCTGTTGGTTTGGTTAAAGAGTCAGCCGACAGGAAGGGAGAGAGATTTGATTCACCAGAATATGGAATCTGGAGTTTATGGCAGAAAGATGGTAAATACACTGATGTTGTTGGTAAAACTCTCAGAGTGAAGAAGAGTCTCCAGAGGATCAGAGTCCAGCTGGACTATGACAGGGGGGAGGTGTCCTTCTACAACTCTGAAGACATGAGTCACATCTACACTCACAGAGACACTTTCACTGAGAAACTGTTTCCTTATTTTAGTGTTGGACCTGCTGGAGACGCCAAAACCTCTGATGTTAAAATATGTTAAACTAAAATTTCTGCTTGAATTTAATCAATGTTTGTTTTTAATTAGTTGTAGGGGTTTTGGGTATATTCTAAAATGGATAATTTGTGAACACAAAAATTATATTACCTCGAGGCACCACGCTCTTAATTTGGTCCAGGATTAACCCAGGAAAGAGACGAAAAACTGTAACTTTATTGTAATCAGTCTCACAATAAATGTACCCAAAATCGTTTGATGAGTTCTTGTCCTTATCAGAACCAATAATACTTTCATCAAGACACAAAAGTTACATTAGCTTACAGTATGTTGGCACGTTCTCCACGGGCCATTTATTTACAGATTAAATGTACTTACAACTGTGGTGAGTAAGAGGTGATGACATGTTGATCCAGGTAAAAACTGAAAGAGTTTGCAATCACGAGTGAACAAACAAACAAACAAATAAACAAACAACAAATAAACATAAAATAAACACTGAGAGGTGAGTTTGAGGTTTGGAGTGAGGTGAGGTGAGTTTTGCTTTTAGCTGAGGATTTAACTAAGGGCGTCCTAGTTAAATTAGGGAGAAAAATCATTTAGTTTACCAAATCTCATACAAAGATAAGAATCAAATTACGTCCGAGCACCTGTGTGTCACCAGGACAAATGTTCACTTTTACCCCTTTGTTCCGCCGTGGGTACCAGGAGGGGAAGTCAGTGATTGAAGGTCATCTCTGGGGTCGTTTCCCAGGTAGGCTCTTCATGCAAGCTGGACGTCAGGCGGTCTGCCTGATAAACTCGACTGGTCCCGTGGTCAGAGAAGGGGGTCACTCCCTGGTGACTCGTGGTCCGGTCCTCCCCAGGTGGCTGCAAGACTTCCCAATTTGATTTCCACTTTGTAGAGAAAACAAACTAAAACAACACATGATTTACAATTAGCTTATTTAACTTCTATAAAATCAAACTCAGATATTGAGTCGATATGAATGGTAGCTGTTCGGTCAATCAGCGGGAGATGCAGAATGACACCATCCTACCAGCCCATGGGGAGGGGCTGGCAGGGAGGGCCTCTGCTGATCTTCTGGAAAGCTGTTTCTGGCTTCTGATGTTGAAAAGATCTCTTTCTCTCATGTCGGTCTCGGGAGCTGCACTAACTTTTAAAACCTCTGTTATGGGCGGAGTCAAGGTTTTAGTTGGCCAATACAAATGTTACACTTTATACAGGAAAAGTTTTTTAACAAATCAAATCTGTTTTGGAGGGAAAACTTTACTTCAGGACAAAGAAAAAGGGAGCATTTTAGTTTAATTATCTTGCATCTAATTAAAGGGAGAGACATCTGTTTACCTCAGTAAAATTAGGGTGTCACTTTTAATTAAAAATTCAAGTCCTAAGGTTTCTAAGGATTAAATCATGGAATAAAACACACACTGTTTAAAATCATGAAATAAAAGAAACATATTCTTCTTTAGGAAAACATTTCATCAAAAAAAAACCCACACAGTTAGCTTCAATGGGTTTTGTTCTTTCTGTAAAAGAAACAGGTAAATAACATTTCTTTGATTAAGATATATGAAAACAGACAGTTGTATAAAAACATTCATTCTGGTTCTCCTTTTTTCACATTTAATGAAGAATGTAGGTCCTTTGTCTCAGTCACTGAAGAGTCTGCTGAAGGCATTATGACCCCCCTTTGAAAAGGAGCGAACAGGCAGTTCTTATCTATTAACATTAAGACAGGAAGTCTGGTGGGGGGTTGGTGTAAGAGATGCTAATTAGGGCCACAAAGGAAGTTCCATGCAAAAGCCTTAAAAAAATAGTCTGAAGTTAAAGTGGGATTTTCTTCCTTCCTTCGAGCGTCATAGGAACAAGTGAAATCTAATCAGAAATGATTAATTATATACAGGAAAATGCTACACAGTTAAACTGATCATCAAACAAACCAAAGCAACAAATACAAACTTTGGCATCTGATATTGAAATAACTATTGTTGCAAACATTTTTTTTTACTTTTGTCTCAAATTTGATTAATAAAAACAAAAAAAAAATCAGAAAATATTAGTTTCATAAACATTTTAATTTAATTCAGATTCAGACTTAATTTAAAACAGTGATTATTGTTAAAGTCAAAGTTTGTTTCGGCAAATCCTTTTTTTGTAGTTTTTTTCATCCTCATCGTCTGTTTTACTTTGATCCAATGACTTCATTTTTATGTTTGATCTGTTGTTGTTGTTTTTTTACTTCACTCAATAGATTTGAACAAATCAGATATTTTGTCTCAAACAAATTCAGGGACTTTAATTTTAAAAGGTGTCAATTTTTTTTGTGCTGAGTTGGTTCAGATATTTGTAATTTCTGAAATAAAAATGAGTTTTAAGAACTAAAACTAAACCATTTACCGTTATTTATCCAGGCAAGTCCCACTGAGATCTCAGATCTCTTTTTCAAGGGAGGCCTGGGCCTGAAGGCAACTTATTGCACATGATTTTACAATATACAGTATATCTACTGTAAAGAACGCTTTTTAAAAACTTTTTATAAWATTTTTATTTCAAATGATATTTGATGAATAATTTAACTTTTAGGTGTTTTAAAGTGGAAAAAATTCCGCTAATGTTTTTGGTTCTGAGGGCTTCAGCTCAGAAACACAGCTGGGAGGTGGAGGTGGGAGATCATCCTGAGGGTGGTGTCACCCCCACCCCCATTTGTCCATTGGCTGACAGTTCAGTATAATCTCCCTCTAATGGGTAATTATCCCCCCTTATCCCCTTCCTTCAGTGGTCCACAGTGTAGTGATATTTTGTCGATGTTATGGACAATTGCTAAATCATAAATTCCTCGTAATTTATTAGCATAATAAAAGGGGCACCACCTGATAATTCAGGAAAATAATTTATAGATCTTAAGTCAGTCTCAAATACTGAATAGGGAATTCTACCAGTTTAGAGAGCAAAACCCAATAAATTACGCACAGACGAACAAAAATTTCAAAATATACCCTGTATTAAATTATTCAGAGGTAACAATACAAACAGATTATTTGGGCAGACAGAGACTATCATCATCAAAGCCTTGAGGTTTAATAATAAGCGTTAATGTCATTCCATAATAACTCTAGCATCATCCTAACTGAACCACTTAAGCTAATCTACACTATCAAAAATTATAAGAAATTTAAAGGTTAATGAAAGGAAGAATTAATCCATCTAGCAAGGAGGGGCGTAAATTATATTAAAAAAAACCAAGTTATGTGGTGGAAACACAGCTTGCGTTAATTCCAACTTGTTYCATTCACATTAAAGAGAGCACACCCGCAGATCACCGTGGGGTTCAGCATAGCTCACCGAAGTCGTCTTCAGACTTCTTGGGTACTTTGCGATGGTTCAGACCAACAGCCTTGTCTTACCTCTGGATGAAGGTTCGCTTTAGACTGGCAGACAAAGTCCCGTTTAGATAGTCTGGCGCTCTGATAGGGTTGGCATACCTCTCAGCTCACGCACACTCTACACCCTCCGCAGCGTCTGCTGGGTCCTGACTTTGTGAATGAAAGTCAATTTAGAATCCTACGCAACTTTGCTTCCTCCCAAATAACTCCGTCAAAAGTACAAAAATAAAATAAAATAAAATAAAATAAAATAAAATGAAAATAAAAATAAA